TTGAAGTACAGAAGCTTTTTAGTAAGATGAAATCCCAGTTGTTGATTCTATCTGCTAGTTCCCGTGCTACTGAAGATTTGTTCATAAAGTCTTTTCCTATACCAATGTCTTCCAGAGTTCTGCCTAACTTACCTTCCAGCAAGTTTAATGTTTCTGTTTTAATATTTAGATCTTTAATCCATTTGGATTTTAATTTAGTGCATGGCGAAAGATAAGGGTCTAAATCTTGGAAACAGACTATTTGCCCATCCGTTGGAAACTGGATAAAGAAGTTGTGGTTTTTCTATAAAATGGAATATTACTCAGCCATAAAGAACGAGAAAATAGATTCATTCATAGGAAATTGGATACATATTGAAGATATACTCCTAAGTGAAATAAATAAGTCACACATGTGTAAATACCGAATAGTTTCTCTGGTGTAAACAATCTGCAACAATGCATAAGATTCTAATAAGATTACTGACATTTAGAAATGGGAAGAAAGGAGCTAAAGGTGTAGGGAAGGTGGGATGGGTAGGGGAAGAACAAAAAGGGAAAAGAAAAAAATGTGAGACAATGAAAAGATGAAAATAAAGTGTTTATAGATGGGGAGGGGAGGAGGGGGTGAAGGGAGGGCAGAGGTAAGGGGAAAAAATGAGAATCAAGACCTGTCATGTAGAGGTACAAGATCCCAACAATGAATGTAACTGTACTGTATCCCTAAAATGTACCAACAAACTAAATTAAAGCTGAAAAAAAAAACAAAAACACTTAGTATTTATAAAGCTACGCCCTCTCTATCTGCTCCAACGACCTTCATAGAACCAGGAATTTGAGAGAAGCTGACTGGGAAAAGTACTGAAGTGATCTGCGATGTTTACCTGGGTTTGCAAGTGAACACCGCTTGGCCAAGGAGCAAGCCACCTGCCAGCCCTGTCAGGGCGCAGCCAGTGTCTGGGCTGGGAGATGGCAGGGACCTGAGCAAGGGCGCCGGAAATGAATGGGCGGGGAGAGCTCCAAGGTCACTGTACCCCGGGGGTGGAGCTCCGCCCCAACCCAACATCTTCCAGTTCCGCGCCATGGGGCACCGGCTGGTTCTGCTGCTCTGCGGGCTGGTGCAGGTTTGGGGAAGTTCTGAGGGTGAGTGGAACTAGGGCATCCGGGTACCCGCCGGAGAGAAGGAGGGGCCTGGGCCGAGCGAGTACAGAGTGGAGCCGGGACTCTCCGCGGGGACACAGGTCGCGCAGACGCACAGAGAGCCGGCTGCTCCGCCGCTCAGAGCTCTCGCGCTTCTCCTTCCCAGGCTCAGCTACCGCTTTTTGCACCCCTCTTACTTGCGCTGCCTGCGGTCTCGGCCACTGGCTCCACTCCTCCTTGTCTCTCAGTGCCCCCGAGGAATGTCTCCTTTCGCTGCCTCCAGATCTCATCCTTCGCCAACAGCACTTGGACGCGCACGGATATGCTGACATGGCTGGGGGACCTTCAGACGGTCGCTTGGCCCAATGACTCGGATTCCATCCACTTTCTGAAGCCCTGGTCCCAGGGCAGATTCAGCCGGCAGCAGTGGAACAAGCTGCAGCACGTGCTTTGGGTTTATCGAAGCAGCTTCACGAGGGACATCAAGGAATTCGCCATCATGCTGCGCAGAGCCTGTGAGTGGAGCGTGGGACCCGGGACAGGCATCCAGGGGGAGAGAGGGTACAGAAGCCGGACTGGAGCACTGGCGCCCCACCCTCTGGGATTCTGTTTTTCCACTGCATGGGACTTCACTTCTGCTTGCAGAAATCTGGTCTCCCAGTCCTGGAAATGCTCAGTGTTGCTGCTGGCCACAGGTTACCCACTCTTATTTCGGTCAAAAGTGGGTCCCCGCCATAGCCTTTATGCACAGTTTCTTCTTCATCCCTTCCAGTCTTTAATGCCACTCTGATGTCCGTGCATTCCTCCCCACAGATCCCCTCGAGCTCCAGCTGGCTGCTGGCTGCGAGGCATACCCTGGAAATGCCTCCGAAAACTATGTGCATGTAGCTTTTCAAGGATCACACATCCTGACTTTCCAGGGAACTTCTTGGGAAGCAGCTCCAGATGCCCCTTCTTGGTTAAATCCAGCCATCGAAGAGCTGAACAAAGACCAAGGAACGAGGGAAACTGTGCATTCCCTCCTCAGTGACACCTGTCCGCAGGTGGTCAGTGGCCTTCTGGAGGCGGGGAAGTCAGAACTGGAGCGACAAGGTCAGCCTGCAGGCCTCCTGCCCTACTCTATACCTGGGCTTCACAAGGGCTTTTCCACCCAAGGCTTCTCTGGAGCTGTTTATTCATTTTACCAACACGCATTGAGTGTCGCCTCTTTTACTTCATGGATTAAATACAGAGTCAGAATTGAGTCAGGCAGTGCTCAAAACACACTGTGTGCAACAGCAGACCTCAGATTGTCAGAGAGCACGGGCGGGGGGATGTTACAGCACCTTGGGGTCAGGAAAGGGAAGGAGTAGCAGTGAAGGTTGATCTGGAGAAGATGACACAAAGGAATTGAAGCTCCCTGTGAGAGAGGGGCCACCCCTGTTAGGGTAATTGGAGGCATGACAGAACACCAGAGCAAGCAAAATGAAGCAACAAGTAAAGTTTCATTTTCAGCCTAGGTGCAGGCTAGTCGAGGGTGATAAAGCCATTGACCTCGGGGGCTTGGGTGAGGGGAAACGTTATAGGGGAGTTTGGGTAGGGAGGGGTGCCAGGAGGAGTGGGAAATTTTTGTCCTGGAGTGGAAGAGATCTTTTGTTCTGGGGCAGAGGAAGTCTGGTGGTCTCCATGGGTGTCCGGACTCACAGATGTTGCTGTGTGGGGTGGGCTGTTATCTCGAACCTGGGCTCCTCTTCCTGTTATCCTTTGCACCTTGTAGGATGTGTCACTGCACTGCCTGAGAAGTTTTTCTCTTTTGACTGGGCTAGGGTCTGATATTCCTTTCTTTCTGTTACAGAAGAAAAAGGAAAAGGGAGTGGAGGGAGGGAAAGGGGCAGAGGAGAGCGGGCGGAGCGTCTCATCACTTCTTTGAGCGTGACAAATGGACAGACTAAAAGGGAGAAAAGCCTTGGAAGATGGGAGCATACGGAGGACCAGCCAGGGCTAGCATCTACTGATTGGTGATTGTTGGCTTTCGATCCAGTAAAATCTGTGAAAGAAGTCTGAGGAGGCATGGTCCAGATAAGAGAAGGGGACTCATATAAACAAGAGGTCCAGTAAACAGAAGAAGCCATGTAGCCCAGCCCCAAACATCAGTCCATGAGTTAGACGGGTGGTGTTAAATTTCTGAGGCCTTGTCTGTCGGCTTTTTTGCTGTCTCCTGTACTGTGCCTAACTGTTTGGAATAACCAGAACATTCTAGAAAAATGCATAAGCTACTGCTCTCAGCAGCCAAAAAATCCAGTCCTTTTCTAGTTGTTGTGGGAGGGAAAGGGTATCTTGGTGACAGGACTGTGAAGAAGGGCTGCAGAGGAGGAGATCCTCTACATATTGTAATTAAAGCGGGAAGCGGCGGGGCAAAAGGAAAGGTCATGGGCGAGGGCTTGGCTGAAATGGTGAGAGCTGCCTTGAAAGCCTTGGGGTAGTTCTGTCCAGGTAAGCTGCTGTGACTGGTGGGTGTCCGAGTCTGTCCACGTGAAAGCACAAAGAGGCTGTGAGTCAGGGTGTAGAGGGATGATAAAGGAAGTGTCTTTTAGGTCGAGGACTGAGTAATGGGTGGTGGTTGCAGGGATAGAGGAGAGGAGCGAGTATTAGTTTGGGACTGTAGGATGAATGGGAAGGTCAGTTTGGTTGATGGCTTGGCGGTCTTATACCAAGAACTACGACTGATTGGACTTACAGGTGGTGAGAATGTGGTGTTGAATGGGGAGTTAGGGGGACTCAGGAGGTCGTGTTTGAGAAGGCCAGTGATGATGGGCTTTGGTCCTCGGAGGGTTGGATCAGGTAGGGTGTATTGGTACTGGACAGGGCAGGTGGTCCTTTTCAGGAGGATGTGGAGGGGCGGGTGATACTGACTGACAGAGAGGGTTGAGGTGTCCCAGATACGCAGGCTGAAGAAGGGAGAAGATACAGAGCAGGAGGAAGGCGTAGCGGTCGGTATGAGAAGGTGGTAACAGGGAGGGAAACAGAGCCTGGAGTAGTGAAGCTGGCAGAGAGCTTTGTTAAAATATCTCATCTGTGGAGCAGGACCAGGCAGGTCAGAATGACTAGAAACAAATGAGGAAACATTGGATTCTTCAGTTGACGTAAGAACAGAGGGGTTTTGAGTGGCCTGGACAAGGTACTGTCAATTTCCACAGCAGTAATCGAGGCTAAGCTGTCCTGAGAGTGAAGAGAGGGTGAAATGGATCACCCCTGTGTTGATTAGAGATGAATGCACAAGGTCAATCTTCTACAGCAACATGTACTTGGAGTTCGGTGCTGTGATGGTCCAAGGGGCATCTGAGCCCTCCAAGGCGTGTCAATCATCTGAGATCCAATCAACCAGGATGGCGAGGCCACTTGACCCTGGCAAGTGGTCTGACTTCCAGTGAAGGCCACCGCATGTGGGGCATGGCTTGGGAGGGAGTCCTGGTTTGGGACAGTCTTTGGCCCAGTGGCCAGTCCGGTGGCACTTAGGGTTAGGGTCCTCAGGGAAGAAATGCTAAACTGCAGTACAGACCTAATGTGAAAGAGGGTTGGAATGATCTTGTTAGGATGAGGAGGGTTGGACGTGTCAGATAAGAGGAAACAATAGGCGCAGGAGCAGAGGAAGTTACAGTAGGAGGTCCTGGAGGAAGCTGAGCAGCTTTGGTATTACAGCTGGAGGAGGAAGGGGGTTGCACTGGAGTCAAAAAGGGGACCAGACCGGTATAGAAAGGGGTGGGGAGAACTGGTAGGGAGACAGGGGCAATGGGAAGCTGTTGAGGTTGTGGCAGGTTAGGAGTGGTGAGGCAGACCCAGGCAGGAAAGATCGGTGGTCAGAGAGGAGTTGTAGTGGGGAGGTGGAGGAGAGGAGCTGACAGAGAAGTTGAGATGAGTTCAGTGGGGTCACAGGAGGCACAGAGAGAGGGGAGATGGTGGAAAGCAAAGAAAGCCTGGACATGTGGGATCTCAGTCCATTTTCCTTGCCAAGGACAGAAATTGTCTAAATTTCAGAGAATTGCTAAGTTGAAAGTGCCATTTTTGGTTCACTGTGATTCATTATCTCATTTGTATTGTGGCCAGGCCATATTGCAAAATAAAATTAGGTGTTTTGGCTTCAGGTCAGGGTAGAGGTGAAGAAGCTTGAGATTCTTTAAAGCACACGCAAGTAGGGGAGAAAGGAGTGGAATAGGAGGAATAGCCCATGGAGGGATCTGAGAGTGACTAAACAGAGGCAACTTAAGGAAAAGACAGTTTCTTAAGGCTGGACAGAGAGGATGGGCACCAAGTGTGCATCCCCAAAACTTGGTGACCACCAGGGAATCTGACTCCCAGAAATTGAGTGTCACGAGTGCTGAGTTTGTGAGCTCAGCTCCAGAGTCAGCCCAGATAAACCTCCAGGGTGGAGAGAAAGGTATTGAGAAGGAGTCAGAAAAAGAAGGGAGGGAAGAAAAAGGAACCCACCCTACCTGAAGAGATTTGGATCAGCAGCAGAGCTGCAGTGAGGAAAGCCTGGAAATCTGATGTCAGAAGTGGCCTCGGTCAGCCTGGAGGGGTCCGGGAAGGGAGATTGGAACCTCCTGGAAGGTGATCTTATCTCCTGGGTTTGGGCACCAGATTTTAGGGTAAACCCAGGCTTGACTGAGACCATGAGAGCAGGAAAAAATGAAGCAACAAGTGAAGTTTTATTTCCAGCCTGGCTGCAGGCTAGTCAAGGGTGACAGAGCCATTGACCCTGGGGGCTTGGGTGAGGGGAAACTTTTTCGGGGAGTTTGGGTAGGAGAGGAGCAGCTAGGAGGAGTGGTAAATTTTGTCCTGGAGTGGAGGAAGAAGTCCGGTGGTCTCCACGGGTATGTGGACCCACAGATGTTGCTGTGTGGGGTGGGCTGCTTGTCTTGAACCCAGGACCTGGCTTCCTGTTACCCTTTGCACCTTGCAGGGTGTATAACTACATCGCCTGGAAAGTTTTTCTCTTCTGCCTGGGCGGGGGTCTGTTACCTCTTCACATGAAATTGAGCAACTATGAGTTAAAGGAGTTATTAGGTAACTATGCTCTTTGTAAAATATACCCGAGTAACCATGACAACGTCTATAAGCTGTCACCAAAGGAGTATAACAGACTCAGAAAGTCCTGCTAGAACTCTTTGCTCTTTCCTCCACTCCTCTGCCTTTTGTAATTCCTGCTTGCTATATTCCGAGGGAAACTCCAATGGAGTTAAGCTTCGTAGATGTAAGAAGAGTTATATAAGGAAGTACAGACTTCTATTCGGGTTCTCCAGACTGACAGGAGTCACTCCCACCGGCATTATTAAAAGCTGCTGTTTGCTCCTATCTTCCTGTTACAGAGTTCTCTTTCCCGGGTCCTGTTTCCTGCTTCACCTGGAGTCTTCATCTCTAGAAAGGGACCTCTGGGAAGTAGGAATCTGTTAGGAGACCTGGATTATCTAATGCAGAGTGCCCACTTTATGATCTCCTTGCCCCTTCTTGCCCCAGTGAAGCCCGAGGCCTGGCTGTCCAGTGGTCCCAGCCCTGGGCCCGGCCGTCTGCAGCTGGTGTGCCACGTCTCTGGCTTCCACCCGAAGCCCGTGTGGGTGACGTGGATGCGGGGTGAGCAGGAGCAGAAGGACATTCAGCGAGGGGACGTCCTGCCCAATGCTGATGAGACCTGGTATCTCCGAGTGACCCTGGATGTGGCGGCAGGGGAGGCTGCTGGGCTGTCTTGTCGAGTGAAGCACAGCAGTCTAGGAGGGCAGGACATCGTCCTCCACTGGGGTGAGAAAGGACGGGGCCCAGGCTGGAAGTGGGAGTATTGGTCCTCAAGCATAGAGTGCTAGTCCGGGGAGGAATGGGGTTGACACTAGTTTCAGAACAGCAGTCTAAGGGCAGGACATCGTCCTCCACTGGGGTGAGAAAGGACGGGGCCCAGGCTGGAAGTGGGAGTATTGGTCCTCAAGCATAGAGTGCTAGTCCGGGGAGGAATGGGGTTGACACTAGTTTCAGAGATGGGGCCCCCAATATTATGGCTCAAAGCAGGGGATTCCAGATACAGGAAGGAGGGAAATAGACCAGATGCTCCCAGAAGTTAGATAAAGTATTCTGTACGCAAGAGGAAATAGGCCAAAACACTCAGAGATCCAGAAGTAGGTGGCAAGTACAGTTCCAGGAAGATTCAGTCTCCAGCAGAGCAGAGACCAAGACTTGAGAAAAGGCAGCTTCACAAAGATAGTTGTACTTCATTTAGTGCTTCCTGTGTGGGGCATGGCCAGTCTGCTTCCAATATTTCATGAAACCATCACCAATCTCCTTTGAAGCAAATACAGTGAATCTTATTTTCAGATGAAGAAATTGAACTAAGTTAAATTAGGTGCCCAGAGCCACGGGGAACGTGGAAGAGCTGGATGGAGACTCACGTCTGCCCAGCTATGGAGCTGCACCTCTATGCTGCGCTTCCACGTACCGGAGTGAGCTGAAGTGGCAAGACCCGAGAAAAGATGAGAGTCTGAACTTCTCAGGATGCTTTACATGGGGGAGGATAGAAGCAGCACCGGTCTTCCTTACCTGTGCTGAGAGCAGGGACTGATACAGGCAGGGGTCCAGTGCTGAGAGCCGTCCTGTGTCCCCTCTAACGCAGATTCCTCCAGCCACTTCTGGGTAGCTCTGGTTTGCCTCATGATCCTCATAGCACTCGGTGTAGGCTTGGTCATTTGGATGAGGAGGCGCAGGTAAGTCTCCCCTTTCCCATCTCCTCTCAGTCTCCCCTTGATTCCCTGCCTCACCTTTCCTAATGCTGTTGCCTTCCCGTTTTCTCACAGCTCCTATCAAGACCTCCTGTGAGTAACTCGGATTTGGAATCAGCCACGGTGCACCGTGGAGTTGAATCAGAGCTTTGAAAAAGAGCGGCACTGAGGTGAAGCAGCCACCACACTGGTCAGGAGGCTGGAGTTCTGGCCCTGACTCAGTTTCCTCCTGTGCCAAATGGGGCCAATTGTGCCTCTCTTCATTAGTTCATGGAGTTGGCGCAGTGCCTTAAAAGACATGGGCCTTCATAGGATACATATGGAGACATACTCCTAAGTGAAATTAGTAAGTCACACATATGCAAATACCGAATAGTTTCTCTGGTGTGAAAAGCTATAATAGTACATAGGATCCTAATGAGATAATTGACCATGTGAAATAGGAAGAAAAGGGCTAAAGGTGAAGGGAAAGTGGGAAGGGTAGGGGAAAGGTAATAAGGGAAAAGAAAAAATATGAGAAAATGAAAAAATGGAAATGAAGTGTTTGTAAATGGGGAGGGGAGGAGGGGGTGAAGGGAGGGCACAGACAAGGGGAAAAAATGAGAACAAATACCTGTCATGTGAAGGTACAAGATCCCAATGATGAATGTAATTGTACTGTATACCTAAAATGTACCAATAAACTCAATAAAAGCAAAAAAATGTCACAAAACTAAAAAAAAACAAAAAAAAAAAAAAAAAGACATGGGCCTGCTATTGTCTTTGGCACCATGCTGCCCTTAGGTGGATCTGTTCAGCCTAGCTCCCTCCGACCTTGGCAAGGGTGTGAGGCAGCCCCGCTGGTCCACTCAGGGCTGGTGTTAAAGTCTCTGTGGAAGTCAGTGCAGTTCAACTTATCTGAGGAAATTCTAAAACCCATTTTGGAGCATCTTCATACTTTAAAAGCGAGCTCCATGTCATCTCTCATTCATATACTAACTGGTCAAATAGAGTTCCTTTAATGTTCTTGAAATTTAGCACACTGTGAGGCTTTGTTTCTTGTGGATGCAGCAGGAGGAAGGAAGGGGAGCCTGGAGAGACTGGCACAGCTGCACACCTGCTCTCAGGGCTGCTACCTGGCAGACTATCCATGCAGCATGAGTACCTTTGGTCCCTGGCACCCCTCCCTCACCTGCCACACCCGGTTGCCAGTCCCTCCAGATGCCTTGGCCCTCTCTGCCCAGCTGAATATACTGCACAGCCTTCCAATGCCTTGTCCTGGTTTGAGTCACGTGTGAGGCTCGTGTGTTTTCTTACAGTAAATGAGTCTTTTCTGCGGTCAGTCCGTCAGTTTATTTCTTATACCCAAATACGGAAACCTGTGGGCAGTGAGAACGTGCATCCATTGCCCCTGCCTGCCTTGCATGTTGGCAACTCACCTTCTTCCATGAACACTTCTCCAAGCCTTCGTGAACTGGAATCCTCAAAGAGAAAGGAAAGAAAGAAAAAAGGAACTACCAACTTCTCTTCTGAGCACCTTGTTGTAAAATCTGATTAGTGTTTTCAACAACTGTTTGAATAAAAATATATATATATATATTTTTTGGTACCGGGGATTGAACTCAGATCCTTGAGAAATGTGTGCAAGGCAGGTGGTGGAACCATAGCTAAATCCCTGGCCCTAAATTTTTTGAATAAATAAAAAAGCGTGTAATTCAATGAAGATGAACTAATGTAATCACCCATATAACTACTTTCCTATCATGCTAAGGGGCAGAGACTTTTGAATTCCAAGTGTCTCATGCCCCTTTGTTATTGATGTCCCTAACCCTGCCGTAAGTCTTGCTCTGTGTTCTGTAACTCTTTGTTTCATCACTTAGAGCATTTCATGTAAGTGAAATTGTGCTTGTTTTTCACTGGGCACAGTGGTTTTATCTGTCAGTTCATTAGTTTTCATTTCTGTGTAGCATTTCCTTGTATGAAAAGAAATACACGGTGCAATTTATAGATTAATCTATACATGGAAATTTGGCTCTATTTCAGTTATTTATTTAATTTGGATTCCCTAAACATATTCTGTGTGATTTAATTCTTTTGAAATCTTCTCAGAGCTGTTTGATGTCCCGATATGTACTGTATCATGGTGAATATTTCATGTGCACCTGAGCATATTCTGCTCTTGTTGGGTGGATTATTGTATAAATGTCAATTAGGTGATCTTCAAATCTTCTATATCCTTAATAATCTGTGTACTTTCTGTATTAGTGTAATAGAATTGGAATCTCCAGCGTTATTTATGAATATATCTCCTTTCATTTCTAACATTTTTTCTTTCATGTGTTTCAAAGTTCCACTGTTGTCAGGTATGGTGGCGCATGCCTGTAATCCCAGCACTTGGGAGGCTGAGGCAGGAGGATTGCCATGAGATCAAGGCCAGCCTGGGATACAGTGAGTTCAAGGCCAGCCTGACTTTCAGGCCACTGAGACCTAGTTTCAAAAAAAAAAAAAAAAAAAAAAAGTTGTATTATTAGGTGTGTACCCACTTAAGATTAATTTTTTTTGATAAATGGATTCTTTTATCATTATTAAGTATTTCCTTTTCTCCCTGATTACTCATCCCAAGTTCTACTTTGACATTAATCATTTAATAGTTTACTCCAAGCATCACTGGGCCGCATGTTTGTTTAGGTGCTGATGATCCTGAGTTTCCTCAGGTGGGTGTCATTTCAACCAGTCAATTCTTGTCAGTAAATTTGATAAAATTCTAGTATTTATATTCCTGTTACATTTATTTTATAAAAATTAACAAAAATATGCAATTTTTGGTCACCCTGTATTTAAATAATAATTTAGGTGGCTTAAAGTAGCCACTCTTTGCTTACTTCTTATTAGGGTTTGCTAAGTATTTCTTTCATGGTCTTCTATTTTTAACCTATTCATGCCTTTCCTCCTAAAGAAAGTTTTCTGTAGCTTTCAGATAGTTGAATTTTGCTTTTTAAATCCTATGTGCCAGGCCGGGGATTTAGCTCAGTGGTTCTGCTGCCTGCCTTACAAGCTGAAGGACCTGAGTTTGATCCCCAGTGCCAAAAAAAAAAAAAAAAAAAAAAAAAAAAAAAAAAAAAAAAAAAAAAAAAAAAAAAAAAAAAAAAAAAAAAAAAAAAAAAAAAAAAAAAAAAAAAAAAAAAAAAAAAAAAAAAAAAAATCCTATGTGACAATACTTGATTTTTGGTGTTTTGACCATTTAGTATGACATACAAATATAAATCTAAGGTAATGTAACTTTATATATGATTTGTCTTCTGTTTTGGTATTTATTCTGTTTTGCCCACCTGTTCTTTTCCTTTTTGCGATTCCATTTTTATCACTGCTGTTAGCTTGTGGATTATGCTTCTTTAAGTACTGTAGTGTTCCAGATCACACAGGATATTTCTGTTGTACCACAGGATGCCTTTCAATATTATATCACTCATATATAAGAACTATGCAACAGTATATTTCAATTTCTTCCCTCTTGTTCTTTGTGTGTTGATATTACACATTTTACTTTTGGTTACAAATTTAGCTTCACAGTGTATGGTCATTAGTTTGTTTTAAATAGTTCCTTTTAAAGCAAATTTAAAAATGAGAAAAAAACTTGAATATTTACCATTTCTGACACTTTATTTATTTATTGTTTCCGTGCATTCAAGAGTCATCTCGTGTCTTTTATCTTCAGGCAGAGGGGAAGAAGGGGACCGAGGGCAGCTCCTAGCCTGCTTGGCCCCCTTGGGGGACCAAAACTTTCCTTTTCTCTAAATCTGGAGGTGGACTGGCCTCAGAAAGTGAAACAGGGCCCCATCCATTCTGTGTTGCAGACGAGAAGCAGTTCTGGCCCCACAGTGAAAGACAGCTTTGGTTTCAGAAAGGTCCCTCTGTGCTGGACTGGGATTGCTGGATTCAGAGTCCAGAGTGCTTGCCCAGTACCGTGGTGAAAATGCTCCGACTTGGTGCAGGTGTACAACTCCCAGCTGCCCTCCTGTCCCAGAATTTCCTTCTCGGGCAGGTTTCTTTGCTGCACAGGACCTGGGTACCATCAGGACACAATGGAACCAGGCTTCCGGACTCAGCTTCTCTCCACTCAGCTCTTGAGTGCTGTACCTCAGGGGATCAGATTAAATTCACTTTGGGATGAGGGACAGGGAAAAACATATTAGGCCTTTTCCAAATCCCTTTGCTCTTTGAAAGTTACTAGAGTTTCCTGTTCTGATAAAAAATTCTTGCCTCCCCAAGTTTTTTTTTTTTACTGCAGAGTACACGTGGGGACCTTTGCACTGAGGTACTGCCCCGCAGCCCCAGCCCCAGATTTATATTTTTATTTTGAAACAAGCTCTTCCTAAATGGTTCAGTTCCCCGGGCTGGGCGTGAGCTTGCCGTCCTCTTGCCTCGGTGTCACAGATGTGTGCCGCCACACCTTTCCTTTTCTTTGCAGTTCTTTTTCTATTGCTCAGGGACCTCTGATGACTTTTAGAAGCAGATTTGGGATTTATTGGAATTCTTTTCCTCCTCCGACCCTGGGATTCCTGGACTTGGTCTCCTGTCTCTCTTTGAGCTCATATTTCTGTGTGGCTTCCTCCTCCCCCATTGCTCAGTTCCTTCCAATTCTCCGTGCTTCTCACCGTGTTCCATCTCCTCTCCTGCTTCCCTTGGCTACTGCTCCGTTTCCTTCTCCTCCCTTCCAACCTTGTCCATCAGCATCACACTCACAGTCCAGTCCAACACAGGAATGGCGACTGCAGTTTGAAAGAGTGTGGAGGTCCTATCAGGACCTTCTGAGGGTCTTTGCTTGGCAGGCTAAGTGAAGTGACAACAAAATTGTCTTTGAAAATCCACATTCATTCCTGGAGGCCTGGCATAGGACTGTTTGACCTAAGGTGTCTTTTCCTGGGCTGATCCCAAACAAACAAAAACAAGCTCTGGTCATGAAGGGCTAAATCTACTGGCAAAGTGCCCGAACATTGAAATTAGTGGGAGCATCCCAATCATCACTTTTTAAAATACCAAATAGGTCAGGAGTGGTGTACTTCCACCACTTGGGAAGCTGAGGCAGGAAGCTTGCCATAAGTTCAAAGCCACCCTGGGCTACGTACTGACTTAAGGCCAGCTCAGAGTACAAACTGAGATGTCTCAAAATCAAATCAAATCAAACAATCCCGAGCGGAAGGTTATGGTTGCCTCCAGTGGCCCTGCTGGGATGGTTCACAGAAACTTGCATTACCTAGGATGCTGCGGGTATCAGTGCTCAGCAGGCTATGTCCAAAGAAAAGCTCTACAAGTGCCTCACCTAGCTACTCATTAAGGTATTGTCCCTTTCTGTTTTCCTGGCCATAGTGGGGGGTCGAGGCCCAGGCCTTCCACCCTGGGGTTTGGCTGACTTGAGCACTGGAGGGCATTCTGCCACATCTCTGCACCTTGAATAGACCTAATGTGATGGGCCAAGTGCTGCCTCACACAAAGTAGGGAGCTGCCAGATCCAAGAGCAATAAGCACAGGCCCGGTGGGCTCGAGGACACAGGGTTCTCTTCTATGACCCAGTCAAACCGAGGTTCACCCTTTCCATCACCCAAATCTTGGGCCGCCTGCAGTCTCCAGTCCTATTGGTCAGGTGTGGGTTGCTTATCTAGGTAGCGCACAGTGTTCTCGTGGATTTTTGGCTTTCTCTCCGGCTCTTCTGCTCTGTCTTGCTTTTCCCCCTTTAATCTCCCACCCTCCCACTTCCTCTTTCACGTACTCTCGGTTCCCACCCTGCTGCCACATGTCCCACTGCTTTCTCCACTTCCACTTTCCCTTCTCACACTCGCCTGCATCCATGGGCTGAGGCCACTGCCTTGTCCCAGATGTGAAGCCCATGGTGGTTTCAGATGTGTAGACATTTCCCGGGAAACTGATGCAACTCAGGATAAAAGTTTTACAGAACAGCCATTTTTTTTAGCCACCAGGGATAGAACCTAGGGAGATAACTACCATAGCTCTTTTTACTTTTAAGTTGGAGACAGGGTCTCTCTGTGCTGTCCAGGGTGGCCTGGAATTAGCCATCCTCCTGTTTCAGCCTCTGGGGCTCCTGGGATTATAGCAATATGTCGCCATGCCTGGCAAATGTCTAATCTGTAATCCTCTATAACTAAAAATTGGCGGAATTCTGAGTCCTCTCAGTCACTTGTGGTGGAACGCCTTCCTCCACCAGCATATACCGGATGCTACTTGTGCCAGATCCTACAATAGGTGAGGGGCTGCATAGGTAGCAAACCTGAGCTCCATCACTACTGGAGTGCACCACTGGTGCACTGATTGGCAAGAAGGGAGTGCAACTGCAGGAACACACAGAGCTCCTCTCCTTCCCGCCTGCTGGATGCCTGGGTCCTGGAGCATGGTGAGTGAAGTGTGGAGAAGAGGGGCTCATGGATGATTCTTGATTCCATGCTGTAGAAATCACCTGCAGAGAGACAAGCTTCTGTGAGTCGGGGAGAAGGGGTGAACATAGTGGGCCTGTGTTTGGGTGTCCTGGGCCCCAGCTCATTCAGCCTGAGGATCAGACTTGCCCAAGGACAAGTGTTAGTGTTTGCAGCACCATTTTTTGGGGTGGGTACTGGGGTTGAACTCAGGACCTTGTGCTTGCAAGGCAGGCAGCAGAACCACTGAGCTAAATCCCCGGCCCCAACAGTGGGTTTTGATTGTGTTTTCAGGGGAAGAAAAGGACCTGAGGCCTTTCTTATGGCACGTTAAGAGCCTATGATTTTATAGTATTCTGTCCCTGGGGTAAAATGTGTTAGTGTGTGGATTTTGGAAGAAAAGCTTAGTGGTTCATGCTCATCCCAGGACCCTCTAGTTCTTACCTAAATTCCTTCTGCAGCCTCTAATGATTTCTCAAAATTTACCAAAGTCTTTAGAGTCACTTTTCTTTCAGGCATCAAATTGTAGCTTCCAGTTCTTCTTGGCCTCCTTCTCCTTGGATCTGTGAGTATTGCTCTCTGAGGTCACAGTGGTTGGAATATTCACTGAGTTCTACCCTGGGCAGGGCTTTCTCCTTGTCCTAGTGCTACCATTGGGCTGCCTGCACTGTCCTGAGGACTGAGGCCAACTTCATCTGATGGACTCCACGGGGATCCTCAGGGCACAAGCATGAAAGTCATCAATGTCTTCAACTCCAGGTTGGTGTACCCTGCTATCACAGAATGCCACTAGTATGGGGGACCAGGCAGGGGACGCAACCAGAACCTCCGCCATGGGTCCTGGCCTCCTGTGTGCCACTATAGCACAAGGAAAATTAAAGAAAAAGAGTGGAAACTAGACTTAGAGTGAAGCTGAGTCTTGGGGCATGATTAGTGCTGTGCTGACAGCAAAGACAAAGGCCCTCAAGCTATCCAGTATTTATTGAATACAGTCATGGAAAGGAATAGGAAGCTGGGTATGCTTTGTAGGCATCTAGTGAAATACTGCTGAACACCTGGCACAGTGGCACCAGACAGGGCTGTTACGGAGTAAGCATTGCTCAACTTACTTGAATACAACAAATTGGCATTGTGACTGGATGCAATTAGCAAGCAACCCTTTGGGTTATTGAGAAGTCATAATTCAGGGGAAAAGATTTTAACTGGGGTCATGCTGACCTCAGCTGCATGTAACAACAGCAGAGTCCTGCCACTCCACAGACCAGGGCCTAGGTTTTCATGGCAGCCATTGGGGAAGGGGCTATATTCACCCATTCCACCATCTGATGTGCCCATCTGAGTCACATAGGGCTTCAGTCTGACTCTTGATATAAAACAATATAGCTGAATTATGGAAAGCAAGAAGCAGGTGCCACTGATAGACCACTAGTCCTGGGCAGGGATGTCTGATACACACACTAACACTTTGATTTGGGACTGCACCATCCTGGCAGTTAAGAACAAATTAAGAGACATTATGTTGTAGAACAGTTATGGATTTGCACATAAATTGAGCAGTTAGTTCAGTATTCTTATGTGTTCCCTGTCCCTGCACATTACTTCCCCTATTATTAGTATTTTACCTCAGTGTGGTTTGTTTCCTAGAATTGAAGAACTAATATTCATACATTATAATTATTAAGTATAGTTCATAATTTACATTAAGGTTTGTTCTTTGTGCTTTAAATTATTGACAAATGCTTTATAGCCTGTTTGTCCAGTAGAGGATTATTCAGAAGAGTTTCACCACTTCGAACTTTCCTTTTCTTTACCAGCTTACCCTTTTCTGCCAGCTCCTTGGAAATATTGATGTTTTCACTATTTCTAAACTATAACTTTTCCAGAATGTTTTTTTTTGGGATTGTACAGTATGAAGATACTTAGACCAGCTTCTTTTTGGTATACTGTCTTTCAGGTTCCTCTATGTGTTTTCTTGGATTTTAAAAATTTCTGGATGTTGCTTCATTATGTGGATATACCACCAGTTTTTGTCCATCACTTAGTGAAAGACATCTTGGTTACTTCTTCCACTTTTTTATAATCGTGAATAAACTGCTATGAACATTCATGTAAGGTTGTGTGTGTATGTGTGCATGTATAAGTTTTCATTTTATTTATTTTTTCCTTTTTTCTTTATCGGTAGTACAGTTACATTCATCATTGAGATCTTGTGCCTTTACATGATATATCTTGGTTCTTATTTTTTCCCTCTTTCCCCTGCCCTCTCTTCACCCCCTCCACCAAATTTTCATTTTATTTGGAGAAATACCTAAGAAAATATTTGCTGGCTTTTGTGGTACAACTACACTTGCCTGTATAAAAACAAACAAACAAAAGTTAAACAGCTTTCCATTATGACTGGGATATTTTGTATTTCCACTGGTATGAATGAGAGCTCCTATGTTCCACATCTTTGATGGCATTTCATATTGTCAGCTTTTTAGGTTTTAGTTATTCTGATGGTTGTGTAGCTGTATCTCTGTTTTGAATTTATAAAAGTTTTGATCATTGTTTTATATACTTATTTGCCACTTGTTTATTTTATATTTTTGGAGAAGTGCCCAGACCTTTAGCTCATTTTTAAATTGTGTTTGCTTTTTTATTGTTGACTTTTATGGGTTCTGTGTTTATTTTGGATATCAATCCTTCACTAGATCTATATTTTACAAATAATTTCTCCCAGTGTGTGAGTTGTTCTTTCCTTTTCTTAACCATGCCTTTCACAAAACAACAGTATTGAACTTGAATGAAGTTAAGCTTGCTGTTATTTTTCTCAAATGAATGATGCTTTCTTTCATGGGTAGTTTTGTATCTAAGAAGTCATCATTAAAGATCACTTAGATATTTTTTATCTTACCATTTAGGAGTATGTTGGGCCAGGGATTGAGCTCAGTGGCACTGTGCCTGCCTTGCAAGTGCAAGGTCCTGAGTCTGATCCCGGGTACAAAAAAAAAAAAGAGGTTTTAATCCATTTTGTGTTGTCTTAAGAAAATACTTGGGTCTGGGAACTTTATAAAAACAAGAGTTCTTTCATTGTGGTTTTGTGTTTTTCTTGTTGGGTTTTCAGTGATGGGCTTTGACTGAAGGCCTTGCATATGCTAGTTAAGTTCTTCACCACCTCAGCTAAATCTCTACCTCCAGGATAAGTGTTTTATTTTGGCCTACATTTCTGGAGGCTAGATTGTGAGGCTCTCTGTTGTATCGCCACAGGAAGCTTACATCTCAAAGTGGGAACGTGGGCAACAGAGTTCACATGGTGAGAGAAGAAACGTGGTAAGAGAGAGAGGAGGCTGCTTTTTTTACAGTGTGTTCTCCACGGAGCTGGCCTGGTGCTGCCATTCTTTCGAACTGTATTAATCATGGAGGAGAAGCCCCATGATTTAATCGTCCAGCCCCCCTTTTCCCCCACCCTCAACTCAGTAGCATTGTACTGGGGAACCAAGCTTCCAACATGTGAAACTTTGGAGAGTCACACCATGTCAGAGCCCAGCCAGGAGTCTCATAGTTTTATACCCCCTTTTTTATACTCTGATGTATCTTATGGAGAATGTAAGAACTCTGTCTATATTTATTTATACCTCCCATGTAGATGTCCACTTGTTCCATCTCCACTTGGTAAAAAGACTGTCCTTTCTCTGCTAAATCATACTTTTGGTGTTTCTAGGGCCTGCATTCTTTTGCACTGATGTTGTTTTCTGATTTTCCCTTCCTTCACCAGCTCCATCCTATGTTCCATACTATAGCTTTATAGTAAGTCCTGAAGTTGGCAGTGTCAGTCCTCTGGGGAATTTTCAGATCTTTGCCAAGACAACCTGGTTGTATTCCTAGAGGTAAAAATAAAAGTGTGAGTATCCTGTAAGTCTCAGTCCTGAGGAGTTTTAAATTCCCAAGTAAAGCCAGCTCAGCTGGCAGCAGTTTGCCAGTTGCCACTTAAGTGTCCCTACCAGTGATCTGGCCCCAGTAGCTTCTTTTCCTGGTCTGCTGTCACTCCCTGTGTTAGCCTTTTTTGTTCTTCAGGTGGCAGTTTTCCCACTGACCAATTCTCTGGTCAATTAGTAAATTTTTTTTAATTGTGAGGAGAAGTGATAGGTTTCTATCTCATTTATGTTGGCGTAAAACCTGAAATTTGTTTTAAAAATTATATATATGAGATCACCAATTTTAAGTGTATAATTGAATGATTTTACTTGATTTGTAGAATTGTGTGACCATCCACTGCTTTCCCTTTTAGAATATTTAATTGTGAGGAGAAGTGATAGGTTTCTATCTCATTTATGTTGGTGTAAAACCTGAAATTTGTTTTAAAAATTATATATATGAGATCACCAATTTTAAGTGTATAAATGAATGATTTTACTTGATTTGTAGAATTGTGTGACCATCCACTGCTTTCCCTTTTAGAATATTGTTGTCTCTTTGCAGGCATTCCCTGCATTGCTGCCCACCTTGAGTAAGCTTTAGTAAAGCAAACATTTGCAAAACTCTCGTCTTTAAATTTTTATTAGATTGGTACTGTATGTAGTAAATCATTATGTTAATTTTCAGTACACTGGAGGAGAGATTTTTTTTTCCTAAAGACATTGGGAGACCTTAACACTAGTGACAGTTTCTTGCTGTCCTTGATTTGACTTATCTTTGCTGGTAACTGGTCTCATAAACCTTTGTGGTGAGCTCAGAGGACGAAGATGGTAGAAAAATCCACCGTTAGAAAGAGTGATAGGTAATGAGTTTGCAGTTAGTGTTATTAGTGTTAAGAATTTCACCTTTTTTTTGGTACTAGGGATTGAACTCAGGACCTTGCACTTGTGAGGCAGGCAGCAGTGCCACTGCGCTAAATCTCCGGTCTCAAAAATTTCACCATTTTTATTCTATTACAAATTTGGTTTGATTAAAGAGACATTAAGTGAGTGCAACACTTTTTATGTTTTTTTAAGGCTTGTGAAGTTCTTTATTTTGTCCTATTTTGAAAGCAAAACATTTATTGGTTCGTTTTAGGCATACATAATAATAACAACATTCATCATAGGGAATTTGTACCTACATGTAATATATCTTGGTTCTTCCTTTTTCCCCATTCCTTTCCCTTCCTTTTGACCCCTCTTCCTTTTCTCCTTCTATTTTTTTCTCTTGTCCCTTCTTTCCTTTTTCCAACCCATCTCCCATTTTCCCCTTCTCACTTGGACATTTTCTTCTTATTTCCCAATAACTATTATACATTTGGTCCTTTTTTATATTTTTGGTTTCTCAAATCCGAGAAACAGTGTGATATTTAAACATGTGCACCCAATTTATCTCGCTTAAGAGCATGGTCTCAAGGTGAACCCATTTAACTGGAAATATCTCAAGCTCATCCTTTTTTATGGCAGAGCAGTACTCCATTGTATAAAAAAACACATTTTCTTTATTTTCTTTATCCCTTTCATCAGTTGATGGGCATTTAGGCTGTTCCCAAGATTTCACGATTACAAACTGTGCTGCTATAAACGTGGGTGTGCATGTATCGCTGTGGTATGATGCTTTAAATTCTTGCAGGAAGTTTTATGTTTATGAGGAATCTCCACACCGATTCCCACAGTGGCTGCACCAAACTGTACTCCCTCCAGCAGTGGAGAAAGGCTCTTTTTCCTCACAGCCCCATCAACATTTGTTATTGGCTGATTTCTTTGATAGCAGCCATTCTTTCTGGAGTGAGATGGAATCTCAGCGTTGTTTTTATTTGCATCTCTCAAATGACCATGAGGTTGAACATTTTGTGCTATGCTTATTTGTAGGGCTTGGGAAATTCTCTTAGCCTTTCTGTGTCTCAGTCACCTGGTTCCTAAGATAAAGGACATACCATATCTCCGGTCTTCCCTGCTCGCTTTGTGCTGAAGCCTTCAGGGACTGAGATACACTTTTATGTTTTGTGGGGACTAAGCCCACAAACTGAGTTGGTATGTGTTCTGTGTATCCCTTGCAGGAGCCTGAGCTGAGTCCACATCCTGAGAAACCAGGATTGGAGGAGCAGGTGGAAGAAAGATTGTATGCAGGTTTTGAGGATGTGGAGCAGGTGGGAATGGAAGCGCTCAGCATAAGGGTAAGTTGGATCCAGAACCTTCCGGGGAAGCCTAGAATAAGGACCAAATGGTCATGGTGGAGCAGTTGGGAATGGAAGCGCTCAGCATAAGGGTAAGTTGGATCCAGAACCTTCCGGGGAAGCCTAGAATGCCTCACATCCTCCATCCCTTGAAGAAACAGCTTGAGCTGAGCTGTGACGAGTGGGGGAGGAATGTACTCCACAGTGGGTTTGTCCACTGCTCAAGGAGCTCCACTGCATGGAGTTAAAGCAGGTTTATATTGCCCACAAGCTCTAACTGCAAACAAGGGAAGATATGACCATGAAGCTCTGCCCCAGATGCCAGGGTTTAGAACTGGAAGCCACTCTCCTTGTAGATCCCCATAAAATGAATATGAGCTGAGAGGGAATAAGCAACACCTGAAGAAGTTGAAAACCACTATTTCTAGGCTCAAAAGTTCTGTTTTAATTTAGTGGGACCTGTGCTTCATAAGCAGCAACCCTTGCGCCCTCCTTGTCTACTTTCAGTTGTGCAAGGTGTGTGTGCAACCAGCATTTCTCACATACTTGCTACTAGCTTAATTTTTTTACACTTTGTTAAGAAACTTGGGCATTGAAGTATCAATAAGATTTCAGTAGAGAAACAAGAGTCCTGAGAAGAACAAGATAAGCAATGTAAACAAAGTGTGCTAGTTTCCCTCAGCTGAGGACCTGTGCCAGCACAGAGTGTGGGTGGACAGGGTAAAGATGGTATTGCTCAGGCCAAGGACAGGCACTTTTTCATCAGCACTCAGAGGTGGAAAGAAGGTCATGAGGTTTGGATGGGTTAGGGCAGGCTTCTCTCCATGGAGAGGCCCTTTGTTTCTTTCTGGGAGAAAGAGAGCATTTCTGACAGGACATCTGGGTAGAAATACAACTGTGATAGTCAGAGGTTCTAAATACTTCTGTGCACTCATTAAGTGAACACTTCTGAAAGCCTCCTCAGTGTTTGGTCCTGAGCTGGTAACTGCACGCAGAGACAAATAAAATATTACTCTAGCAGCATCCATAGCGCTCTGAGTCTGGGTAACCAGTGAGTCGTGAGAGTGACAGTCCCTTCATTCAAGGAAGTGGTGTGTGGGAATGCATCAGTGTTTGTATTGGTTTTCTTGTTTTTTCTTTCTTCCAACAGCTGGATGACCTGTCTCAAGATAATAATTTCTGACCTCTCAGAATAATACTAGCTGGTAAGGTCCCGGTCAGTGATAGCAGTACACACTGCCAAGGTCTGAAAATGAAGTGGACAGCAGGAGAAATGAAGAGGCAAGTTTAAAAGACTTAGAAGTTCACCATGGGCACATTTATCCTGAAATTCTCCACTCTCTGATAAATGCTTTCCAAACTTCAGTACTTTCTCCATTTATAAAGTAAATGAAATACTAGTCATATTCCTAAACCTGCAATGGTTTTTATTTCACCCTCAAATTTCAGATTGAATTGGGTGGAAAGAATGAAAGAATTTTTAATGTTTGTAGTAAAAGTGTGGTGGAAAGGTGTTGCTCAAATCCTGTTTTTGTAACACTGATTGGTTGAAAAGCAACTTTTACTCTCCTAAAAAGAGAATAAGCTAACAGTCCCGTTCTGCTTTTCTGTTTATGGTAGCCATACATTTCAAATAAAAATCTCTGTTTAGATAAAGAACGTGGATTCTAAGTTCGTGACTCACTTGTTATACCTCTGTAGTTAAAACATTGTGCCAAACATACAAGGAGGATACAGAAGAAGGTTATACAGTCCTCACTGAACAGAGCTTATCGTGTTTGTTCCTCATGCATTAAGGGCTCTCGGTAGGTGAGAGATACTTAGGGGCCCAACCTCATGAAAGGGAAGATGACAGTGTATGTGAGGAGAGCTCTGGTCCTTTTTAACTCCTAAAGATTTAGGACTAAAGGAATGTGGGGACCACTCTCTTCCAGAGAGTGTCCCACACTTGTGGCTTAATGCATACTTAGCATGGTCTCCATTCTCAGAAATTATTTAGGAAATCATAAAATCAAAAGATGTCATGTAGACATGGACTGAAGATCCTGAAGAACTATGGTAAATCACCGACAAGGTCAAGATCCTGCTCAGGATATGAAACAAGAGGATTAAATGCATGTATGTGGTTGTCATCTGGCACAAGAACATTTGCTCCTTTTTGCATCACCTAATGAGTTCTGTAGAAAACAATCTCCAAATGACCCAAAATATGGCCTTATAAACTAGAGAAAAATAAAGACACTCGCACTTCTATTGACTTCACATAAATATGAGTCCCTCAATGCATTTAACAGACTATAAAGTATGGCTGTGACTCTAGGGTCATGAAAGAAATCTGGGTCACTCCCAGATTCAGTGACCTTGGAATAAGCAGAATAGTGTTTAGAGGGGCCAGATGATGGTGGCCAAAGGGACTTCAGTACTGTGATGCAGATGGCTCCCTTTAACATTATATTTTAGAGAAAGGTCTGCTCTGCAGTCCTGCACTAAATTTATCCTGTATTTGGTGGGCCCGTGGTACCTTCTAATAGAGATCAGGAATGTCTGTGGAGTCTTAGATACATCTAAGACCAGTATTATTACGCAGTACAGTTGGAAGATAGTTTGGCACAAAAAAGGCCAGCTATCAGAAGCCATTGCTGTAGTCTTTTGTCCATTACTTGGACTTATGTGCTGGCTGGTCCACAATGATGTCTTGAGTTGGTACCTCCAACTCGTGCAAGTTCAGAGACTAATCTGAAAAATCTGGTTACATGAGGATCCCCACTCAAGACAGAGGCTCAGAAAGCCTAGGTGGTGATGGCAACTGAGAGAGTGAGGAGGGGGTTCAGGGCCTCACTCCCCATCTGCCCGTGCCTCTCAGTCCAGCCTCAGCTTCTCTGCTTAGTGCTGCACTGAGGATCATCCTCACCCCAGGCGCTTACCATGTTCTGTAGTAGGATTTGGCCACAGACCAACAAGGTGAGGTTAAATCACACAGATGCATCAAGCCATGAAAAATGTCTTAGGAGCCCTGTTTTGTTGAATACATGGGTGAACTGAATGAAACATGAAAAAACATCATATTTGCAAGTGTTTTTCCTAGTAGTCATTGCACATACTCAAGCTCTGATACCATAAACTATTGTAATCACTTTGATGGCTAAGAAAAGGCTCTTGTGGGACTACAATGGCATCTGTAATACATGTGATCTGAAATGCTTGGTGACATAGAAAGCAAAAAAATTTTTTTTCCTCTCATTGAGTTTATTGGTACCTTTTAGGTACACAGTACAGTTACATTCATCATTGGGATCTTGCACCTTTACATGACAGGTCTTGGTTCTCATTTTTTCCCCTTGTCCCTGCCATCCCTTCACCCCTCTGCCCCTCCCCATTTACAAACACTTCATTTCCATTTTTTCATTTTTCTCATATTTTTTTCTTTTCCCTTATTACCTTTCCCCATACCCCTCCCACTTTCCCTACAACTTTAGCCCCTTTCTTCCTATTTTACATTGATAGTTATATCATTAGGATCTTATGTACTATTATAGGTTTTCACACCAGAGAAACTTTTCAGTATTTACACATGTGTGACTTATTTATTTTACTTAGGAGTATATCTTCAATATGTATCCATTTTCCTACGAATGAACCTAATTTCTCATTCTTTATGGCTGAGTAGTATTCCATTTCATAGAAAAATCACATCTTCTTTATCCAGTCTCCAGCTGATGGGCAAATTGGCTGTAGGAAGCAAAAATTTTAAACACACACAATAAAACCCCCTCACCCTTCTGGATGTTAAGAGATAGTGATGTCAAATTTAACTTAGGTGTAAGGAAAGACCTAGTTGTCCCACAGATAAAAAACAAGCCAACATAAAAATGGAGAGTAGCAAGAATACTATTGAGAAATAATGTTATACATTTAAAATGCATTTTCTTTTATTCTGCTATATTATATATTGCTCTTTCTTGTATAATTTTAATGAATTTGATATAATGTGCAAATATTCAGAGAAAAACATCAAGATAGTTTTGTATTTTTACATTCACACGATTTTACAATTTTCCCTGAAAAAAAGTCTAAGATCAGCTTTAACAATAAAGAATCAGGCTGTAATCCTGGCACTCGGGAGGCTGAAGTAGGAGGATCGCTGTGATTTCGAGACCAGCCTGGGCTAGTGAGCTCCAGGTCAGTCTCAACTATATAAGGAGACCTGTCTCCAAAAAAAGAAAACAAAAACAAAAACAAACAAACAAAAAAACAGTGAGTTAACTTCCAGATAGTGTTAAGGAAGATAACACATTTGGGAACAATTTCTGCTTTGATGATTTTACACATATGTATGAATAACTGTGAAATAAGTATTGGTCTTTTGAGAAAGAGGTAGTTGGTATTGGCTCAGGAGGACACAGTATGAAGACTGGAGTGAGAATTTGTCACTAGTGGTGACTTTTGGGAAGAGACCCAGTAGCTTTTTACATCTGCGTGGCTGAGGCAGTGCCAGTGGCTCCTAACATTCTGTGACACGACCCCATTCCATTTCTGTGGTTACAACTGCCAACATTACCTGCTTCACTGGGCCCTGCCTCTCAACTCCTGTTGGAGTCTGAGCTATAGGCAGTGCCTCAGCTCTGGTCCTTGATATTTACTTGAAGGTTAAGAACTCTTGAGGGCTGCAGGTGTCGATTAACTTTATCTCAGTGCTAAGTTCATAAGGATAGTTGTTGTCATCATTGCTTAGTCCTCAGCCGACCTATTTGATTTTGTTTGATTTTAACCTGTCGTGTGTTTGGGGTCACCTGCACAGTCTCTGGCTCTATCTCTTTCACGACACGTGTCATCATGGGAGTACCTGTCGTCCCTTCTTGTCATCCACAGACTGGATTGGGTAGTTCAGAAACTGAACAGGAACTACAACAGCAGCTGGAGGAGAGTAAGGAGAAGTTTTATGAACTCCAAGGACGTTTCCTTGTGTCTGAAGCTACTGTCTATGCCATGGCTAACGAGCTTCAAAAACACAGTAAGTTCTGTGGTTCCTGGATCCTAGAGTGATGAATGATCTTTTCTCACTCTGAGAAAGGAACTTTTCTCCAAACTCAATTTTTCTCTTCCCTCCATCAACTAAGTTTTCCTTACTAAGTTCCTAGAGAGATAGATGGTTTTTTGCCTTCCAGTTAATGACGATGGACAAACCAAGGTTCAACGAATTCACCAGTTTCTCTCAGTTTTCTTTTCTTTTCTTTTCTTTTTTTTTGGTTTTGATTTTTGAGACAGGGTCTAGCTATGTAGATAAAACTGATCTTAAACTAACTGTGTAGCCCAGGCTGACCTCAAATTCCTACAGTCCTTCTGCCTCAGCTGGGATGATGGACATGTTCCCGTACAGATTTCTCTTACTTTATAATGAAGTGTAAGGTGAGACTAGGGTTAAAATATGTTCGACTCCTGACCCAGATATGGATTTATCTACTCTTCTCACTATCAGGCATAGCCACTGTTATTAGACCCTTTGTGTATCCTATGGGATCCTGCAGATATATAATATATCTAAAGATCTAGGACTGGTGATCTTCTGTGTCATTCAAGCTTCGGATGATTTCTTATTGGCAAAACACTGTGCTGGTTATGTTGCGGAAATAGGTTGGTTGTGGTCTCCTCCTGTTTTAATGGAGTTATGGAGGATTCCACTCCTAACTGAAACTGTAGCTGCCATAACTGTCACCATGGAGACCTGGGAGTCCTAGGTTACAGGGCCTTTCCTAGAAGTCCAAGAGAACCTCATTACACCCCAATGTAATGGAAAGCACTTCTAGGATATCAGAGAATTGGCAGTGTCTCTTGTATTTATGGCTGAACTGTTGAAACTTCAGGGGCACAGGAAAGGCCAGCAGGCCAAAATGTAACACCGGGGTTTGAGCGATGAAACATAAGGCCAAAGTGAGAAGAACCACAGTGAGCCCTAAGTTTGTGTTCAGGGCAGCCTCCCTCCTGCTTTGAGCTTAACGGCAGGAGCCCATTGGGCAGTACAGTGAGAAGTACTGTGGTGACTGGAGTCAGGGCCTCGTGTAAAACAACAGGAGCTCAAGCAATCTTGCCATCTCTGACCTGAATTCGCCTCATTTATCAAAAAATCTTTGTCCCCAAATTCATTGGCAGAATATTTAGTTCAACCGAAAGAAAACAGTCAAAATAGAAAACAGTCCAAACATGTTAAGCAAGCCAAGGGATCAGTGGTGGGAATTAGCCGCCTGTATGTCATTAACATCGTTCCTTACAATCACAATATTATTTCAGCTAAAGGTTTTGAAAATAATAAAGAAGAGAGACGTCCCACAAGTATCTGTACAGGTGACAGTGTGTAGAGCACGGGCCCTGGGCCTGTCTCCATGGCTGTAATCCAGGTTTTTTTGTCTTCTCTGCCTCACAGGTTTCTCAGCTCCCCATATGGTCCATACTTATACCTACTTGTGTGTGTTGTAATGAACACAAGATTTCTCCTAATAAAACACTTGCAACAGTGCCTGCCTCAGGGTAAACACTGAGAGTTGATATTTCAATTTCTCCTAACTTCACACAAAATTTGTTAGTGTTGGGCATATGCTCTCAGGTCCTTATGCTCTTATGCCTTATGCTTTCCAGAAATTTTTCCTGGTATTTTTTTTTTGTTGTCTTTGAGAAACTTGTTCCTCACTGCAATCCCCACTGAAGAATATTTTCAACCCTAATTCAAGCAGAAAGGATATCACTATTTCTGTCCTAGCTAAGTGTTTGAGTTGAGAGACTGCAGGCTTGGTAACTGTAGTTTTCCTGCATTCAGATTTAGATGTCGTGGGATGTGAATTTTGACTTTGTCAACACCATTTGAATCATGACAATTTATGGACCTTGAAAGGTTTGCATTCCGTGTCTCTAAAATGGAGACAATGAAATGTCAAGTGGGATGTGAATTTTGACTTTGTCAACACCATTTGAATCACGACAATTTATGGACCTTGAAAGGTTTGCATTCCGTGTCTCTAAAATGGAGACAATGAAATGTCATCTCTGTAAGAGATCAGAGAATAAAAATATGGACAGGGCTACACAAACCATGTACTACCGTGTCATTATCCTTGTGATGGGTGTGGCCACCCCTCCTGGGGACTGTGTCACAGCTGTCCACTGAGGCAGGTGCATCCGTCTCTCTCTCAGATTGTCGGAAGTTCAAAGACATCGTTGAGTCTGTTCTGGGTGAGAAGCTGCTGTACAGGGAAACAAGGCTGACACAGAAGCTCAGGCTGGCCCAGAATTTGAGGTAAGGGGCTCTGTGCATTGCAGGGAGGATGGAAGTTGTGTGAATGCCTAAGTGAGACAGCTTGGGTGTGAGAACCAAGAGCCAGCCTGGTCCCCAGAGGGGCAAAAGGCCACATGGAAGTTTCACGTCTGACAATGACATGCGAAACCTTTAGGGGATCTCCTCTCCATCTGGACACATTTTTGTTGCTTCTCTGAACAAATGCACTATGTCTCTACTGATGCAGAGATGTCCACAGCCAATGATTAGGCACTGAAAGGGCCTCTCTGGGATGAGGGAGCCCCCTGGGTTTGATTACAGAAGAGTAGTGAGGGGAATATTGAGGAATCCAACAGGAGCACTTTGTGATACAGAGGATACCTTTATCTTTTTTTTTTCTTCTTTGCAGTAGCCAGGTCACCAAACCTGAATTGTGCTTTAGGGCTTCTTGAAGATAGTCACAAAAAATCAGTGTCAATGTCCATATAATTATTTCTGCTTTTATTTTTGAACTACCCCACCTAGGGAATGCAGTTTCCAATTTCAAGAGCAAGACCAGAAGCTGGCCCTGTTTCAGCAGAAATTACAACAGGGGAGAGATGCCGCGTTTCTACTGTGTCAGCATCTCAAGGACCTCTTCACCTGGGATCACCTTCATAGCAGCCAGGGTCACGGCTTCCGTGAGCTACTGATTGAAGCTGAAGGCTGGCAGAGGACCTTGTATAAATGCTTAGCTCAGGTAAGGCATGCACAGGCCTTGATTACCCAGAGGAACTCCAAGGTCCCCAGCTCACAGGATCTTTGTAGTGTGCCCCCACCTTTTTGAAATTTTTTTTTTGTTAACCAGGTCTTCTGGTGCAGATGTTATATTTTGTGCCCAGGGAAATAAGGCAACACTTACCAGTGCTCTGAATATGCTGTTGTTACTCTTTTTTTTTTTTTTTTTTC